AAAATTTAAGAATATATATACTACACAAGAACAACAGATGATAAAAACGCAAAGCACTTGGGTACAGTAGGAGAAAACACAATACAATTCATAGTTGATCATGTCTAATATAGCAAGAAAAGCAGGAATCAATTAACCATGAAACCATAGTTTATTCAAAACAAAACAAATGTGATCGGAATTCAGCCTCAATAAAAAGAATGTGGGAAATATCATGGGACATCCCTTTCATGGTTAATCTTATCAAGAACATGTTAGTATATATGTCTGTGTGGAAACAATACCACCCATTAGAGACGTCATTCTAATCAATGAAACCAAAGAACGAACCTATTCGTCAAAGTTATTCAGTTCGATTCTATTTAATTGATGGATTTATTTTTTGAATTAAGGTTCAAATAAAAATCCAATCGAATTTACAAAAAAAATAATAATAAATTAATAAAAAAATCCAGACTAACCTCTAATCGTCGTCTTCCATGGGTATTGCTCAGATCGATGTCCCGTTCGAAATTCTCTCAGTGGTTGCCGTTGAACCCACCCACCACCATCTATTTTCATGCCGTAGAACATAACACAAAGAGTGCCGGGAACACAAGCTCGCAGTACCCCTTCAGGAGCTTGAAAGAGTGGATCAATCACTATAGCAGGCCAAGCAGGGAAATGTTTCCCACATTTTGCCCAAACTATATCTTCCTTTACAAAATCGTCAGGCTTATAAAAATCAGTCTTCTTCTCAACCACTTTCACTTTCTCTGGTTTCTTCAATACTGCACTCATTTCCCCAACACTTTCCGCCAAGGGTGATACACTAGAAATCCCTTCATTAACTGATGTCACTGAACTCGGCGAACTAGAATAAGGCTATAAAATTATGTTTTTCAATTGGAAGCTCGACTTCTTTTCAATTCGTGGTTTCTTGACTAAATATACGTCATCATGTGATGCCGACTTATCTTGTCGTTTTAACTTCTTATTACGAGGCACAACCTGAGCATATTCATCATTGTCAACTGAACTCTTCAAATCATCACAACCCTCTGATTTTTCTTTCTTCCATGGATGCAAAACAGAGTCATTGAATTTCATAGGGAGTACCTGCTTACGCCCTCGAGAAGACTTCAATAGTGGAGGCTTGTTATTAACAGCCCTCTGAGCAACGGAATTTGCTTCGGCATTATCCAAAGAGCGTCCAGTGGAAGGGCAATAGTTTGAAAGATCAATGCTCTGACCTTCTAATTTTACTATTGGAACAGTAAAACATCGATCAGTTACCTTTGTCATCTTTTTACAATTAACGGCGGGGCTGCATGATTCCTCCACGTCGTTCCCACCCGTCACTTCCTCTTTCGCCATTGAGCAACGCTTGAGTTTCGGCATTCCAATTTTCCTCCGCCCCGTTTCCAATCATGTCCCGTTATCAATCAAATTCGCAAATCGGAAAAACAAACCTAGGGGCACCACAACAAAACCCTAATTCCTCTCTTCTCCACGGCAATTCCTTTTGTCTGAACCCAAATTGCTTTCGAATAAATCCTCTCACCGAAATTCAACAACAATATTTCGGGGGGAAACCTCTATACCGCCCTGAATTTCAACAATTAAGAACTCAAAACGACTTAATCCAAAAGACCCACCCAAAAAAAAAATCTCAGTGGTTGCCGTTGAACCCACCCACCACCATCTATTTTCGAAAAAATACTTGTATTGCGTCTTTGTCTGTGTGGGAAAGACGACAGTTCATTCATTGTCTGTACTCTCTGTAAACTATTAAATTTGGTTTTTAACAATTGAGTAAATATTTACTAATTAAATGTAAAGGTTAAAAATGTAAATTAGTTGAAGTACTATCCATGTATGATGGGAGTACAATGATTTTTGCTAGGCATGTACATTTTTTTAATATACCCTAGGGTCGTACATGGTATGTACATTAGATCAATGGACACAATTATTTATCAATTAATATTAACGGTGCAGATTAATTCTTTTATGGTCCGAGAAGTACAACCCTCTCGGACCCTAGACAACCCCTATTTTGTATAGCTGAGTTGGTGATATACTTTACATTCAAAGATTGTAGTCATTTCAGTCAATTTTCTGTTGGTACAATCAAGCATGTGCTTGTCGTTGCCTTAACTAGCAGAGTAAAAGGTAAACTGATGGAAATGATAAAAAAAGAGTAAAAAGCAGTTTGCCCCCTAAACTAATGGCCGTTTTGCACTTTACCCCCTAAACAAAAAAAATTTGCACGTTTTTACCTAAACTCATTAGTTCGTTGCAGGGTGCCCCCTAAACTGAATTTTCCGACAATTTTGGACGGAAAGTTAAACACGTGCATTGCACATGAAATTTGCAGGGGTAAATTCATAAATTCACTTCCAGTTTATATATTAAATGGTGATTAATTAAAAACAAAAAAAAAAAACCATCTGCAATCTTCTTCTTCCCTCACCCACCGACCACCAGCGATTTACCTATCCCTCCTTCTCTCCTCCGCCGTTTTTTCCTCCCCTTCCTCCGTCTTCGGCGAAGACCCTCTATGACACTGGCTTTACGACACCTATCTCTCCTCCGATCCCGACTACAGCTTGTCACACTCTTAGATGGAGGATTCCGATTTCACCAACCTCTTCTCCGGCAGAAAGCCCAACGACATACTTCTCTCCCTCGACGACAATCAGTCCATCCAAGAAGGAATCAGTATACTTATGGACTAAGTACTGATGTGGCATATACTATTAATACGTGTACTAATTTAGTAATAGATGACTAAGGACTTGCATGACTAAGCATGTAATTCCTTCTGTATAACTTCGTGGCATGGGTTTAGAAATAAAATTACCTTTCGAGTACAGAAGCTTTTGGCTTCAATAAAATTTCTCATTTTCCTTTTTCTTCAATGCATATGTTATATGATTCGATTTAGATCGTTATGTGTCGGACAGATCGAGGTCGAGGATTACGTCATCCGGTCTGATGAATTTCATGGATGAGCTGTTGAATTCTGAGGATGAGAGAATTATGATTTTCACGATGAACGACAAAGAAGGAATCGATTCAGCCCTCTTGCGTCCCCAGAGAATCGATATGCACATCCATTTTCCGATGGAGGAGATAAAACGAACAAGAAAGAAGAAGAAATAGAACAGAGTGGAAAAAAGGGGAGGAAAGAAAAGGAAAAAAAAGGCCTGTGGTGGGTGTTTTGCTTTTTTTCTTTTATTATAAATCATTATTTTATATTTAATATTACAATTTAAGAATGGACAAATTTACCCCTGTAAATTGGACGTGCAACGCATATGATTTAATATTCCGTCCAAAATTGCCGGAAAATTGAGTTTAGGGGGCACTGTGCAACGAATTAACGAGTTCAGGTAAAAACGTGCAAATTTTTTTTGTTTGGGGGATAAAGTGCAAATCGGCCCTTAGTTTAGGGGGTAAACTGCTTTTTACTCTAAAAAAAAATTTAATTGTTAAAACATGAGGGACCAAATATATTTTTTATAAACATGAGAGACCAAATGTGAAATCAGTACATACTTAAAAGATGAAAACTGTATTTCACTAATTATATGAGCTATTTTCTCTCAAAAAAAAAAAAATTATATGAGCTATTTTAAGTGTTAATTGGGACTCGTATAGGCTATGTTTGGTAAGCTTTTGGGCTTTCATTTCCACTTTATTATGGAGAAAGATGTTTTGGGAGATGAATTTGAAAATAAAATAAAGTTTGTTTGTGTTTTGTGAGGAGACAATTTGTATTGTAGCAAGTCAAATCATGTCTAAAAGATGTTGAAAATAGTTATTTTAGAAGAAGAATTTGAAAGATAAAGTGATTTTAGTTTGTAATTTAGTGAAGACAATTTTCACTGTAGCAGTCAAATCATTCTGTTAGAGTGAGAAAAAATTGAGTTCTTTTTGGGGAAGTTTTTGAAAATATTTTAGAAAGATAATTTTATTTTGGAGAAATAATGAAAATAATTTGAGAAGCTTACCAAACATAGCCATATGTCGCATAAATTAGCGGTTTCTTCCTTTGATACATTCACAACGGTTAACTGACGAGTGAACCAAATTAAAGTCTCCAAAATTAGTAAATGAAGAGTGAAATTTGTTCACCTCAGACTATATAGGGGACCGAAATTATTGTAAATTAGTAGATGGAGAGTGAAGTTTGTAAACCTCGTAATACTGGGGTGAAAAGAGGAATTATCGTAAAGTTGAGGGGCAAAAAATGTAATTATATCTTACTTGTTACTTAAGCTTTTGAATTAATTTGTCGTAATTAACATCTAGAGATTCTTGAAACTTGCATACTATATATACATGAAAAAGAATATATCTATTAATTAAAATATAAATATAAATTATTAAAAAATTACAAATATAGATTACTTTACTTCAAATTTTCGTTTCTTTATTCTGACATTATAGACATAATTTAATTGCGAGAAATACAAAACATTTCATTTGAAGATACAAATATAAAATACAAATAAATATTACTTCCTTTTTCCTTTTTATTAGTTTGTTCCAAGAATTAAAAAAAAAAGAGATAACCCCTTTCAAATATTGTTCAAGTTGCACATTGTACCAAAATCCAATTTTCGGTGGACAACGTGCCATAAAATAACATAATAGAAGGGCAATGTTCAACAAAAATAATATTTTTAAACGAAAATCGACACCGATTTTGATCCGAAAATTTCAATTTTGGAACAATATTTTTCTTTCTGAGTACAAAATTTATGATTATGAGTTTTCTGATTTTCTTTTGAATCAGAATTGAAATATATATACGAAATTCTAATTTTCGATCTAATTTTAGTTTCTTGAAAATAATTAGACACTTGTCAATGTAACGAGTTATTTTTGTTTTTTTTTTAATCCTTACCAAAAATAACCCCAGGGCAATCAACAATCCACCACAATAACCCTAGGGTTTTTTATTTATTTATTTTTATAAAAGTGTTCTTTTATATAAAAAGATTAAAGAAATAAGATTTAAGATAAAACAAAAAAAGGGGAGAAAACGACTAGGGATAATAAGATGGCTTCTTCTTCCGCCGCCGCCGCCGCCGCCGACGACTCCAAAAATCCGAAGCAGATTATCCGGAGACAGCTCCAAAAATTGGAGGAGCGATCCGCCGCCTCCGCCGCCGCCGCCGAATCCGAAACACCGGCGACGAAAAACCAGATCAACAAGATACTCAGACAACTCGAAAAATTGGAAGAGGAATCCAATAATCGGGAGACGAAGAGGAGAATCAAAAAGATACTCGGACAAGTCGATATATTGGAGGAGTTGAATCCGGACGAGAAGAAGCCGATCGATAAGATACGCACACAGCTCGAGAAATTGGACGAGAAATTGGAACAAGAGGATTCAGATGATTCTGATTCTGATGTATACAAACCATTTTCCCCCTTTTTTTAATTTTTAATTTATTTGTTAATTTGTTATAATAATTAATTAACCCTATTTTAATTGACAGTGGTGTGGAGGTCCGACTCTCCTGTACGACAGAGATTCCACCGCCA